GAAGTTATGATAGGTGATTATTTCCCTATCTGAAAGGGTAAAAGTTAAGAGCATAGGTAGGTAGGTAAGGCTTGTCTCTGGTATGCATGATGTGGGAGTCTTTAGGAAAGGCTATTGAGAGTTCTGCTATAAAAAGGCTAATTAATAGAATGTAAGAAATTGGGAACCAAAACATGACTTAGTCTGAGAGTTTTGGCTGTGGGCCAGAGGTGGAGATGAGTGTGCAAAAGGATGGTTAGATCTAGGGCTGGGAGGGCACCACTCAGCTTGAGTGATGTGAAACCACGATGGCAGTCTAGCAACTTTGACTGCTATTGAGGTTGCCAAGAAGACCAGGTATGGACTGCTCCACCTTGGTTGTAGTCCTTGGGATGATTTGCTATAACAGGACTTTAGTAAGTATATCAGCAGTTTTCCTGGTTGTGGGAAAGGCTTTTATGTATCCTGAAAAAGTACAAACAAAGGTAAGAAGATATTTGAGAATTTTGTGGCAAGGCATGTGTGTAAAATTTATCGGTCAATCTTGACCAGGTTTGTGTCTGAGACATTGGTGAATCAGAAAGGAAGGGGTGCTATGAATCCCTGAGGAGAGGTTTAGAGATAACAGGTGTAAGCTGTTGAGACCTCAGAGTGTCTGGGTCAGTCTGTATAAACACAAAGGAATAAAAAAGCATTTTTAAAATCTAGGCCTGTAAAGTGAGTGGTGCAGGGAGGGATATAAGAGAGCATGATATAAGGGTTTGGCACCACCGAGTGGATTGGGGTAACAGCACTATTTAGTATCTTAATCTTGTACTAGAGGGTAAGACCCATCCAGCTTGAGTACCAGGAGAATGGGAGGGAATATTATCGGGTAAATGGGTAGGTTTAAAAAACCATTGTCTAAAAGGTGCTTACTTACAGGTTTAAGTCCCTGTAAATGTTTGGAAGCTATGGGATATTGGGGAACACAAGGAAGAATTGAAGGATTCCTGAGACGAATTAAAATAGACATGACATGGGCAGCGCAGGTGGGATTGGAGGTGTCTCAAACTATTGAATCAACCAGAGAAGAAGCAGTTTGGAACCTGCATGAAATAGGCCCTGTCTGTAAAAGCTACATAGGTTAGCCTTCAGTACCCCCTATAGAGACTGAGGACTTAATATGGCAGCCTGAAAACTCAAGAAGAACCCTGTACATGGCCTCTATGTCCACAAGTATAGAGAATGTCTTACCTGAGACTTGGGGCTCTGAGAAGGGCACCTTAATGGGAACTGAGTCCCGTCAGTCTTCAGCAGCAAGTTCAAGCAGATTTGTCAGCAATGAATCTGGCAGTGATGGCATTTCCTGTGAGGGCAAGGAGTTGGAGGATGGCTTACCCTCTCGTGCAGCTAGGACAGTTGCTCCAGTGACCCTGGGGCAAGGCCCCAAAGGAATGCCAGGATTGGGGCATTCTCTTGCCCAATGTCTTTGTGATACATTCAAAGCATGGTCCAGGAGGGGCTCAGACAGCTCCACCTTGTGTCGGTTTACCTGTCTCAGAGTTCCAAGTGTCACTGCTAAAAGATCAGATGGTTATTTTTTATCTCTGTGGTTGAAAACACCAAAAGCCCTATTAAGAAGGTCTCCTTGTGGGGTTTGAGGGCCAAATTTAGCCTTTTGTCTTGGGATCTGGCCCATGGTGGAAGGTATCTGTAGAATCAATTAAGTATGCAGGAGTCAAATAATACAATCAATAGGGTATTTATGATCATAACTTTAGTAATGGCTTCCCATAAGGAGGATAAGGTCCATGGAATTTTAGGAACTGATATGTCATTTATTTGTCTCATGTTAAGTATCTCTTTATGCTGTTAGAATGTGTAATGCCATCTGATTTTTGGAGGATGGCCTATTTTATTAACTTTACCTTTTTATTTAGGAGAGATCAGCTATGGTGTCATTTAACGCCAGCTGAGTATAGTTAAATATGGCTTAGTGGAGGGCTGAACCAAGGCCAGCGGACGGGCTGAGAAAGGGTCAAACCTGGCCTCTGCAAAAGGAATTTATAATTGTCTCTTACTTTCAGTTGTTGAACATGGAGAAGATTGGTAATAGTACAGTGCAGTATAGGCTGTATGCTTAACAATAGTAAAGTAGAACAAGAATAGATACAGACACAGGGAATACAGATCTCCTTGATACAGATGACAAAACAACTGCTTGACTACTTGAAATGTTATAATCTGATCAAACAACCTAATGGAAGAATCCAGTGTTAGAATTAACTCCAAATACATTGAGAGTCTTGGCAGGGGTGAAACCAATTGGACAAAATGTCAGCACTGCCAATCAGTGTTGGAAATTGTAACAGACAAAATGCTACAGGATGCTGTGAAATACACACAGACTGAAACCCCAGTAAAGCATTCTGTAGGCACTAATAGCCATATTAAAAAATGTTTTTATCATAATACCTCAGTAGTTGAACTGAAAGCATCTATAGGTCTGCTGTACTTAGCAGGGATTTCTCATGGTAATTGCAGGAATGTAAAAGACTGATGGAAAAGTGCTAAGTCAAAATATGGCATAATTATTTTTGCCCTTGTAGATGTGAAGATTTATTATGCTTTCAGTTTAGACATTTATCCTGGAACTCAGTCATCAGGTCCTTATTTGTATAGTAATAAACTGAATGATATGAATAAATTTATTTCTCCCATTTTCCAAACTAATTGGAATGTGACATTTGACAGTTAGTTTACCAGTTTCCAATTGATGTTGCATTTGCTAACAGCACAAGTTGACCAGCACAGGAACAGTATACAAGAACAGAGCAGAAATTCCAAATAAAACCATTTTCAAAAGAGAAGTGTATAGTATAGTCTTTGAATTTCAGGTAGATTTGACCTCAAAAGCAGACTGGTATTGCTGTTGTCAGCACTTCACCGTGATGGAAATATATATAGGGAAGCCTTGACAAAATGGAAACCTGGGATGGAAACTTTCTACAACAATATCAGAGGCAGAGTAAATTTTGGCGAGTTATGCAGCAATTATGATGTCACTCAAAACACAAAGTGGTTGTGTTATACTTGATCTAAACATGTGTGCAGAGTTTGCTAATTTACAGAGGAAAATAACAAAGCAAAATACCATGGAGAAATTCCTTAAAGAATTGAGCCTGGAACTCTTGGTCATTTACAGCATAGGAAAAACAAAATGTTTGTGCCCAGGGAACTATGGGGAAAAATTATGGAGCACACTGGTGAGCTGACAAGTGAATAGGCAGGCACAGCATCACAAAGACTTACTATGATAATAGGACAACCAAAAAAATGTCAACTGTGACCTACAAGAAAGGGCAGGAAAACAAAATATATGTGCTGTTGGTGTAAGTGGTACTTGTGTATGGCACATGCAATTATCATATGTGAAGACTGCCTTGTTGTGGCATTTGAAGCAAATACTGTATTTGTTGTAGAGTTCTATTGGTATTTTTATTGTAGTTCACGTAAGTTTTTATTTCCGTTATCACTTAGATTTTGTACATAAGCACACAGCTTATGTGTGCAACACAGCTGATGTGAAAATGCTGATGTTGTTTCTGAGTACTCATTAGACATTTAATATTTTATTCATATCTCATTTCCCTCCTAACTGCATTTTTATACAGCATAGTATGACAAAATATAAAGAGAAGAGAGGTAACAAGAATGTCCTGCCATGTAGGAAAGGAAAGCTAAGTTCATGTGTTCTCGGTGTAAGTGAGACCTGTGCATGAAAAATAGTTTTCATAAGACTGCCTTTGGTGTGACAGTTGAAGCAAAGATTATTTCTGTGGTAGACTTTTGTTTACCTGTACATTGTAAGTTCTTACTTCTGATGTTATCTCTTAGGTGTGTAAGGAAGTAGACAGCTGATGTGAAAATGTTATTTGAAACATGCAGTACATACTAATAATTTATTTTATGTGCTAAGTACACATTGCATAATATAGTAAGAACCTCCCAACAAAACAGCGAGACCATTGAGAAGTCAAATATTCCTACAAAAAGGCCAGGAAAGCAAACACATGTGCTGTCAGTATAAGCAACACATGTGTACAAAATGTGCTGTTGTCATGTGTGCAGACTGCCTTATGTATGGTAATTGAAGTAAAGATTTTTTTTGTAGCGTGCTATTGGTATTTTCATTATTCATACAGGAATTTACTTTTGTTGTTCTTTTTTAGACTTTGTATATCAAAAACCAGTCAGTGTTGAAAATTTTTTTTTAAATAAATCTTCAATAAATACTAAAAATGTAATGCTTTACTTTTGTGATTTTTTTCCCCTGTTAAGCATTGTTTAATGTAAAATTTATAAAATTAAAATTAATAATGTATAATTCACAAATATTCTGAAGAATAAGGGAGGGTCTCACACACCTAAGGTAATAGGCTTTTATGCCAAAAATGTGTTATATTCTACATTAAATATCTTTTTGAAATGATGGGACTAATAAAGACAGCTAGGTCTATATCTATCAAGACTAAGCAGTTTTAGTAATATGGTATTGTTCTAGAACAAGCATTACAGTACCAGAGTTACCATGTGGACTGTTTGTTACAGTTTTACATTGAAAGTGTAGGAAGATCTTCAGATTTAGATTCTAAATGGAGTAACATTTGAGTTGAATATTAGATGTTGTGGGTTTAAAAGAATTGTGTCAAGCAGACTAGACAGTCCCATTCATTAGTGCTGTGAACTCTCAGAATGTTAGATTCTTCCCATGCACAAATATAATACGTGGATCTAATTATGTAAGTACCAAATAAAGGAACATGCATAAATCATCTAGTATGAAATAGCAGCAGTAAGAGGCACCCGTTGATAGTGCAATAAGAAAACGATGCAGAAACTGAAGGCTGGATGTTGTAGGGGTCGCAGTGTGCAGGAAGGCAAAGAGCAATCCAGTTTAATCAGGATGTGAGTCATGAGCCACCCTGAGCCCAACCCAGGGACCTAGACTAACAGTGACAGTAACACTCTATCTGCAGGTGGCCACCATGTCGTTGAAGATCCAGACAAGCAATGTGACTAACAAGAATGATCCCAAATCCATTAATTCTCGAGTCTTCATTGGAAACCTTAACACAGCTGTGGTGAAGAAATCGGATGTGGAGACCATCTTTTCCAAATATGGCCGTGTGGCTGGCTGTTCTGTGCACAAAGGCTATGCTTTTGTTCAGTACTCCAATGAGCGCCATGCCCGGGCAGCTGTGCTGGGAGAAAATGGACGAGTGCTGGCCGGGCAGACCCTGGGTGAGTTAACTGTCTCTTAAGGGCTTTCCTAGAATCCTGCAAAATAGCTGGCATCCTTTATTCTCCATTTCTCCTATTAATCTCCTTTAACTCTACCACCACTTTCACACCTCTGAAATTTTATTATAACTTCAATAGTTACAGGTTGTATTTAAGTTGTAAATTAAGTAGTTACAAAGTCCTGTAGGAGAAAATTCTAGAAGCTCCTGGAAAATACTTCTGTCCTATCCCTGCCTTTCTCATTCCTGTTGTGTTGTGTTTTGACAAGGTCTTGCTATGTAGTTCAGGCTAGCTTTGAACTCACTATGTAGCCCAAGCCGGCCTTGAACTCAAAATGATCCTCCTGCCTCAGCCTCCCAAGTGCTGGGATTATAGATGTGTGCCACCACTCCCAGCTTTTCACTGCATCTTAATAAACTTTACAGTTCTATTTAAAAAATGCAGATTCCACAGAGAAAGGGAACACAGTGGACTTAGCATAGCCTGTTACCCCAGCCTATAGTTGACTCAGGTTGAAACCCTTTCTGAGAGCCAGCAGTAAGAATTAACGCACCTTGGTGGTACATAGTGTGATATACACTCGTGGTCTGCCTTAGAATATTGTTCATGTTGTGTACATATTTCTGTGTATGTTTGAAAGGTGACATCTGTATTATAATGTATCTGTGAATACGAAGCGTATAGATGAGACATTATACAAAGCATATGGAAACATAACCTTATGTTATAGGTACAGTGTATTGTTTGTGCTGGAATACACAAGTATGTAAGATATGCATGCATTCACTTGCCAGTATTTCTTGAGATTATTTCATGTGCTGAGCACTGATACAGACATAAAGATGTTTGCTAGGCAATCCATGAGAGTGTGTATTGGCTTTCTTGCATATATGCAGTTTAACTATAGAATTTTGGAGCCAAGTCTGAGTGTGCTTGAGGTGCCAGTGTTAGTGATAATGTATGAATGGGTGTGACTGTGTTTGTATGTGTTTCCATGTATCTGATTTATGCATTCTCAAGTATGCCCACGTAAACATCATATGTGTGATTGGTTTGATGGTAGTGTATGTATCTGAGTATATATGGAATATATAAATATTTGTGTGATGTCTGGGTATGAGCCTGAGTTTTGAAGACCTGTCAAATGTATGAAGGCCTTTGTCTACCATCTATATGCTATGTAAGCACATAAGTTACCATGCGTGTGTGTGATGGTGGTATGTGCACAGGCACCCTGCTATCAGGCCAACATTCTGACTCTGCCTCTTCATTCCCCACAGACATCAACATGGCTGGAGAACCCAAGCCCAACAGACCCAAGGGGCTAAAGAGAGCAGCATCTGCCATATACAGGTGGGGCTGTCTGTCTGTCTGTCTTTGTAGGATGGGGTCCTGTTTCCACAGAGGGAGTAATTACTGGTAGTAACTATCCTGAGCCTACAAGTTGGGAGGCATTTGGAGTTGAGGGCCTATGGAAAGTGGGCTGAGTGGCCATCTCTAAGCTCCAGCCCTCTCCCCTTTGTTTCCCCAGTGGCTACAGCTTTGACTATGATTACTACCGGGACGACTTCTACGACAGGTGAGCAGGGGAGGGGCGTGCCCAGGCATGAAACAGCCAAGCTGGAAGGGTCCTGAGAGATTGCTGGTGCAGCCCACTAAGTCCTCCAATTGGAAACTGAAACTCAAAAGTATAGACAGGCATTTGCCCAAAGTTGCTCCACAAATCAGTGGCAGAGCTGAGACTAGGGACCAGTTCTGCAAGTGCCCATGCCAGAGTTCCCAGCATCACACCATCTTGTCCTACAGTCTGAATCTGACTTCCCTTCCTTCTAAAGAGATACCAGGGAACTGTGTACCCAGGAACGAAACGTAAATACTATCAACTGGAATACAAAACAGTACAGTGCCAATTGCAAGCAGTTTGAATCCTCATACTTCTGCTTTTCAGTCTCCTTACCTGGGTGAGGTATCTAGCCAGCCAGAAGGCAGCCTTAGAGCTCAGCCTCTTACCCCTTATATTTATAAGGAGTTAGTTCCTGGTGGTTTATGTCCCACTGTGTATAACCCAATCCTGCCCAGACCCCAGGTTGGAAGCTGTGGGCCCCCATGCCAATGACATTAGCTGTATTGTTGAATAGAAGTCATGGCGAATACTGGCTCAGCTCTTGACTCTTCCTTATTTCCCCTCCTTCAAGCTTATCCATCCCACGCAATCTAGGAAGAACAGAACCTTTATGAGCCTTGATATTTCTCGCCCTTAAGTGGTTTTAGTTGCTATTGTGGTGTGGTGGAAATGCCTTAGCCTTAGCCTGGGTGTCAGAAGATTTAGGTGCTAATTCCAGCTCTGCCACTGAATGAGTTATGTGACTTTAGGCAAATTCTTTGAATGGGCTTGCACCAAATCATCCCTCAGGGCTCCTCTAGCTCTGGGATTCTATGGTTCAGTGATTCTGACCAAGGCCAGAGCCGCCCCCTCCCCTTGGGGGTAGAAATGCAGGGTCCCGGTTTGGATCCATTCCCAAGAGACTCCATCTCTAGCCATCACCATCCTTAGGGCAGGGACTTGGTGAGCAAAAGGATACCACAGATGGTACTTTGTCATGTATGGCATGAGAAAGTAGTGCCAGAGAATAGTCCTGACGAAGGCTGTGATTCTCTGTAGAATAGTGATAGTGGCAGATGTGGGAGAGACATCTGCTAAGCCTACTGAGCTTCTCTCTGGTCAGCAGAAAGGGAAGCCTCCTGGAGAGGGCTGGGTGATAGTGCTGACCAGGCCCTGACGTGTGATTGAGTTCCCCGGTCTTGATGTGCTGTCAAGGCTTGGCCAGAAGAGTCTAGCCTCACATCTCTGAGCTTTTCACTTCCAAATTTTAAGTAACCTGAAATTTTGCCTGGCATAAATTGTAGTGTATTTTTAACCAAGCTCTCTTACTCTGTAATCTCAAACTGACTTGGCACTGTATTAAATAGTCATCCTCATTAGGTAGATAGAGAAACTGAGCACAGGCAGATTCAGGGATTCCTGCCTGTACCTACCTCACTCCACCCCCATTCTGGGGATTCATACTGCATGGAGATGTGCAAACTGACCAGATGTTGGAGTGACAGAAGCCAAGTTGTGAAATAAGGTAGGTCTGGGTCTCAGAGAGTTCTAGGGAAAGTTCCTTTGAGGCTGGTCTGTTCAATCCTCTGTTGGTTTGGGACCACTACCACCTACTGCCTCTCCTGCCAACACTTGGCCAGGCTGGCTGGAAAGGTAGATTTGGGAGAATATCAGCAACCATCAGGGCTCAGAATGCCTTCACAGTGCAGGCAGAGATGCATAGTGCCTTGCCTTCAGCCCCTCGCAGCCAAATATGTAGGACTAGTACTGCAGTGCTCTCTGGTGGCCACGGGCCATACTGCAGCCTCTGGCCTGTTTGCTCTCACAGGCTGTTTGACTACCGAGGTCGCTTGTCACCCGTGCCAGTGCCCAGGGCAGTTCCTGTGAAAAGACCCCGTGTCACAGTCCCTTTGGTCCGTCGTGTCAAAACTACCATACCTGTCAAGCTTTTTGCCCGCTCCACAGGCGTGACTACTGGCTCAGCCAAGATCAAGTGTGAGTGACTCCATTGTTGTCTTGGATAATTTGTATTTTTATCATTAGCAAATAATAGAATGACATTTTATTTTTATATTGGAAAATAGAAAAAAGGAATAAATTTCCCATAGTTTTGTTGCTCTGACACCATCACTATTTTCATGCATTTCTGAGGAAAAGGCTGACGTTTGAGGAGGTGGGACTTCGGATAGATACAGAGTCTAATGCTGTTACATGGTACCTGGGAGGCAATAGTATTATCTTTCCTCTTACTGCACATTTTCTCTGACGTTCAGGCACTTAGCAAACCCAAGTACAAAAGACTTCCCTTTTACACATTGTAAGATAAACTCCCACTTTATAAACAGATATGTGTTGTTGCTGAGGTGCGCACAAGAGCATACTACAAGCCTGCGCTCCTGCTCCTTCCCAGTCCATTTCAGCTTGAGAAATCTAGGAGAAGAACAGCCAGGTTCAGAAGCATAAACTGGTCGTTGTGGGGGTGGTCTCCAGGCAACCTTAAGAGGCTTTTCCCTTTTCTAGGAAAAGAACAAGTCTCTCTTTATGACTGACAGAATGGGGTTAGAGTTTTTGTTAGTTTTAAGCCCCCAAATGACAGCCCTGTCCCCATGATTCCTAGTAAAGAGCAGTGAGCTGCAGACCATCAAGACAGAACTGACACAGATCAAGTCCAACATTGATGCTCTGTTGGGCCGCTTGGATCAGATCGCTGAGGAGCAGAAGGCCAATCCAGGTCAGCCTTTGAGGGTCCTCACTCAGCTCCATGACCAGGGAGGGGCACAAGACAGAACATGGGGGAGGGGGCATCAGAAACTGGGGGGATGGTCAGGCACTGGGGTGGCCTCCAGTCCCCAGAGCCCTGCAGATCCTAGTCTACTTGAACCTATGGTGCTGAGACCAGCTTCTGCTAAGGCTGAATTTTAGTCTCTCTTCCTCCACCCCAACACTCAAGATGGCAAGAAGAAAGGTGACAACAGCAGTGGCGGTGGTGCTGGCAGTGGCAGTGGCAGTGGCAGTGGTGGCAGCGGCAGTGGCGGCGGCGGCAGTGGCGGTGCCAGTGGCAGTGGCGGTGGCGGTAGCAGTGGCAGTGGTGGTGCTGGCACTGGCGGTGGCGGCAGCAGCAGCAGCAGTAGCAGCAGGCCACCACCACCCCCAGAGGACACACCTTCTGAGGCAGGCACACTCCAGGAAGAAACTCAGACTCAGACTCGAGATGATGGTGATGAGGAGGGGCTGCTGACGCATAGCGAGGAAGAGCTGGTGAGGCCTGCTCAGGGGTGTGACTGGGAGGGGCTGGGACTGGACTTTGCACTGTAGTGTGGGGGTGGGAGGAGGAGACAGCGACACAGGGACACCATGACTAAAGTAATTGGCTTCCCTGTGAGCTTTGTCTTTTCTAAGGGTTCTAGTCTTGTGGGGTGGAAAATGAGCAGGGCCTAGTTGTCTGTTTGACATTTGCTCAGGCAGAAATCCCTGTAAGAAGACAGACTTAGGTGCCACCCAAGGCCCATTTTAGCTTCTGTTCTCCACATGGGTCTGAAAGGGGGAGAATCAGCCTCCAGGGGAACACACAATATGCAGAGTTCCAGAGAGCAGGACAGGTTGGCTGGGGACTGCCGCGGGAAGAAAGTGGGTATCAGTTCCACAAGAGGATTTTCTGAAGGTCAGGCTGTGGGGGTTTTTTGTCAGTTTTTTGAGGTAGGCTGTCACTGTGTATGTTTAGACTGGCTTTGAACTGTGTAGCCCAGTCTGGCCTTGAACTTGGAGCAGTTGTCTTGTCTCAGCCTCTTGTGTGTTCGGATTACAGGCATACACCACCACACCTGGCAGGCTGTTTTATAAAGGATGAGCTCCTGTCTGTATTGCAAGTGTTCAGGCTAAGACTGGGGAGCATACCTTGAGAGGGATGGTGGATCAGACTCCTGAGTTTGTAAGATACCTGCTGTATAGTTGCTTGTGTACTTCATGAACATTCAGTGACCACCAGCAAAACAGTGTCCATATTTGTTAACTTGGTTAATCTTAACAGCAGACCTATGTTACTCAGAGTATTACTGTTACCACATTTCATCCCATGAAAAAACTGAGGCTTGGAACAGTCGATAACTTGCTCAGGGCTTCATAACTAACGCAGCCATGCCAGAGTTGGAGCCCAAACTTCCTCATTGGCTGGACTTTTCATCACTGCTGGGATGTAGCATGTGGACAGTTAGGCTCATGGCCATGCCAGTCAAGAAGACCTCCACATGCCCAGCTTGTCTTTCTTTGAATCTAGCCTGCTATTTCTGTCTTTATTTTCTTGGGCTTAGTAGTCTCTATAAAGGCTCCAGTGAAGACTTAAGATTTTCGAAAGATAGGGACCCAAACAGTCTCCAAGACTTTCAGCCTACTCCTGTCCTATCCACAGGCGTGTGCTCTCTGCCACTTCTACAACTGTGTCTGGTCCCTTCTGTCTCATTTGGGGCCCTTGAGCCACCTTCTCAGGATTCCAAGCCAGCCTTACTGTGACTGATTCATAGTCATTTTCTTGTCCTTCCCTTTTCAGACTGGGTCTTCCAGATGTGTTCTGGGCCCCAGGACCTTTCTACATAGATTGCTCAGGGCAGAACTCAGAGCTTGCCGTGAATAATGTATGGTTTCTGCTTGCCCTTCTCAGGAGCACAGCCAGGACACAGATGCGGAGGATGGGGCCTTACAGTAAGCAGGTATGGTGGTCTTGGGAGCAGAGGGAGGGAGGCAGTGAAGTGAAGGGTGTGCATTTTCCCCAAGGCAGACCTGGTAAGGGTGGACTGTATCAAGAATGAAGGTCCTTCTGCATGCAGCCATCTTGCCATGTCCCTGTGTGGCAGGAGCTTGACAAGTGGAGGAGCAGGTGCCACGGATACTATGCATAGCTAGGGTACCAGCAAGGGTTCTCTCAGCACATTGTGTAGCCATGTTGCCTGTTTTTTTACCCTTAAGGAGATACTTGTCAGGAGGAGAAAGACACAAACTGTTGTAACCCAATATGAGCTGAAGGACAATAAAAGGAAGGCCAAGTGAAGGAAGAAATGATGTGTAGCCAAACCTGCTCACAACTGAGGGAGTGACATTCAACACCAAGGGACTAACATTAGCAGAGACACACAGTGCTCAGACAGACAGTCCTGGGAGTGTTGAGGAGCCAATAGCCTCCTGTGCCTATAGTCCTGCTCTGCACAGTAGGGAGAAGACACTGTTCATCATCAAAGGGTGGTGACGATTATGAATGTGCCAGGCTTAAGGGCTTGGACCTGAGCCCATTGTGGGGAGAAGGTGCCCTGTGTGACAGGAGCTACACCTCTTTACCTGATTTCATCTTCAGCTCTGCCACAAGGTTGTGCCAGTATTACAAACACAAAAACTGATGTACTGAAGAACGAAGAGAGATACCATATATCTCAAAGGATCTCATAGTTACGGATAGAGCTTAGATTTGAACCCAGTAGTGTGCTGTTGTAAAGCTACTCTCTACCACCTTGCTCTGCTCTAACTTAGAGGAAAGCGAGGTTGTAGTTAGCTCTGCCTACTGTCTGATCCATTTGCTTGGGTTCATGTTCAGAATAAGATGGGCTTGTTAGAGGAAGGCCTCAAAATACCAGTGTTTACAGGGATGTCTTGATACATGACTCATTCATGCTGTTAGATACTCCATCAGCAAAGGCTTCCAGAAGAGTTAAGTATAGAGAATTCCTTATGGGTAGTCTTTTCTCTTGGAACTTCATGATTTGTTTTATGTGGGAAGCTAAGTTTTACTTAGGAAGCTAATTTACTGGATAGATGGAAGGGATTCAGGTGAGGACAGAGGCTCAGGTAGGGGTGGAACATAGCCAAAAACATGATCACATTATAAGGCGAGAGCCATAGTGTGGGCGTATCTGTCTGCAGACATCATTCCACCCTTTCTTCTCTATCCTGGGTCCTTTTCCTCTGAGCCTTAGTCTTGTCTTTGTCTCTGTTTCTCAGCCTGACAGCAGCACTGGCCACCAGCAGGAGAAGGGCATCACTGTCCAAGGCCTCACACCAGGCACTCAGCCCCTGGATGCCAACTTGTGGCGGGTACCAGAGGAAAGCTGGCAGCAGGCACTCCTGCTCCCCATGCATCCCAGGCCAGTGCCACATCTTCTGCAGGTGGAGTTATCAGCTACCCTTTCCCCATTCACCCTCCCTGTCTGCACTGTCCAAGCCAGAGGGCAGAGCACAGGGGTTTCCCAACACTTGGCCTCCCCTCCCCAGGACATTCCTATGCTTGGGGGTTTTCTATAGGTTTGGAGCGGGGTGGTATAGGATGGGGACCTTGACAATAAAGAAATTGGATCCAGCCTGCTGTGAGATGAGATAGTTTGTGCTTTTTGCATGATGACATCCTGGCCCTTCTGCTCACCACAGATCTGCCCTGATGAACCACTTTCATCCTGACCTCCTTTATTCTTCTGCCCAGAGATCACTGTGTAGAGCCGTGATGGCCGACGGTTAGTTTTCAATGATAAATAGCTTGCTGCAGCACAGGTGCCATAAGTTCACCCCCACTGGTTTAGGGTGTCTAATACTCATCTGTGTGGGTCTTCATTTCCTCAGCTCCGATGATAAAAAATGGCCAATAGGACAGCCAGAGAGGGTCAGATGTGCTAGCGCCCATGAGTGTATCTTGCTGGCTGAAGTGCCAAGGATTGTGAGCCACTTGCCATCCAACAGTAGACTATAGTCTAATTTCTCTCCTCAGCTTCTCTAAAATGATTCTAGAATGTGCCACTGCTTCTACCTTCCGTCCTGTCTTGGACTCCTTTTTTTTTTTCCACTTGAACTTGGCCCTCTCACCAGCCCCTCCCATTTCCCACCACCCATCTACACTGGGTCCCCACCTGCCTGCCTCCCTCCCTCTTCTCCTTTCACTTCTTTTTTCCTCCCTCCCCTCCCCCTCATAGAGATTGATAACATACACAGAAAAGGGCTATGAAGAAAACAAAAACTAACAAAAAGTGGGCTAATCATTTCAAAGTTAATTCCCCCTTACTAAGTAAGGCTCTCTCACCTCACCTAGATGAGAATATAGCCAAAATATAGACATTTGTGGTCTTTTTAAGTCACCATTATTATGTGCTTCAAACGATCTTAACATATCCTGGGTTTGATATAACCAGCAGTCTGAAGGTCACCCATAGAAACTGAAACTCAAATAATTGTAGCTATCAGTTCTATAGCATGCCTTCCATCAGGGCCTTGATTCAGGTTTTGGTAGAGGAATGAAGGCTGGGCATGGGATAATATTCTGGCTCGTCAGGGAATTGTCTGTTGTTGCCTGCATCAAGTATAGAGGAGAGAGAATTTCCTAGGTGCTCTGCCAGGTCTTTACGTAGATTCCACTATCCTATATCCCCTGATAATAATCCCTTAGGGGTGAATATAGACTAGGAAATTGAAGACTTTAGTTGAATAACTTTGTCTAAGCTGTCACTTTGGAAGTGGAGGTGTGATACATACCCCCACTTCCATCATAAGTGACTCTATGTTGCTCTTAACTAATTGAACTCAGGATCTTGTGCCACTGAGCTACATCCCCAGCCCAGGGTACTTGTAATTTCTGTGAACATCTCCTGGCCCTCTGCACTTTCAGTGTTTCCTCATTCTACTTTGTGCCTGTACCTCTCTGCTGTTTTCTTCTAAGGTATACACTTCCTAGATAGTCTACGCCATGGCTTCAGATTTCATTGACTCCATTCTTTCCATGGGGACCAAAGGGATGTATCATCAGATCTCCCCACTGGAGATAGCTACAGTGACGTCCACAAGGAACTCCCCCGAGTATCTTGTTCAGTCCTCATCTTGGGGGATTAACATCATCTTCGTCTTCCACTTGTCCCTCTCCAGATGTTAATTTGCCTTGGCTCAGCACCGTTTCATCCCCGTGCCTTAGATGAGACCTTTCTCATATCTTACGTGGACTTCTGCTTTTTGCTTGCCCTGTTGCTTCTTACCAACCTTTGTCCTTTGCTGCCAGAGTTCTTCACTACCCATTGAGTAAGATCTAGACCATTAGCATGGTGAAGAAGCCATGGCTTAACGTTTTTTGAAATTTATTCTCTGGTCTTGGCCCAGAAGGAACAAACTACCATCTGAGTTAAATAAGCCTTTATGCATGTCGTTCCCTTTACCCAAGTCGCTTATGTCGTCTTCCTCTGGCTATCTCACATACGTTCCTGGCCACTATCACAGCTCGTGCCATATGGTATTTACCACTAGCTTTTGGAGGGACACGAACTGCCCTAAACTGCAAGAGACACTTTTGAACATGACACTTGAGAGGCAGCACTACAAAATGGTTAAGAGCACTCTGGTGCCCAAACGCCTGGAAGTTCTTGCCACCCCTTACCGGAATGTATTTGAATTTTGGTTGCTTTCCAGGAAAAGACTCCCAAGACTCCCATTTCCCCATGTGTGAACTGGGAGAAAAGTACACGTACTTCAAAGGTTGCTGTGAAGAGTAAGTTAATGCAACAAAAAAAAAAAAAAAAAAAAACAGGGCCTGGCACACAGTTAAAGACTTTTGTTATTATGCAAGATGGCCTAGGTTCTAAGCCATAAAGAGGCATGTCATAGTGCAGTGACATTTGGGATTAAAAAAAAAAGTAGTCTGTCAGAAGCAAAAACAGTTACAGGTTTGGCTAATTTTCTATTTGATACTTTGGCTTCGATTTCGCTTCTGGTACATTTAAAAGCTCATGAAAATCTAAAGCTGATGAATAGTTTTTAAAAGATGCCAATTAAAATACTGTCAGTTTATATGAAGCATATCCATAAATTTTTTTCTTTTTATCAGTACCAGAGATTGATCTCAGACCACCTGCTTGCAAGGCAGGTGCTTATGCCACTAAGCTAAATCCCCAGCCCAGATATCCATAAACATTTAACCCTTGAGAACAGCTGGTCGTCTAGTGGCTTCAAATGCTGTATTCATAAAATAAACTCTTAAAGAAGTGGTTTTCTTATAAGGTTTTTTGAGTATCCCTACTTGGAGAAGGTTTGAAAGGCCAAGACCCATGCATGCAGCTTCTTAAAATTACTCACCATTAACTTAAAACTCCAGGGACTATGTTTCTGCTGGTATGGTCAAGGAGAGCGGGGCTGGTCAGATTAACCAAGATAGGCAACCATCCCCAGACAGCTTATTGTTAACCGTAACTAGAGTTCCCAACATATAGTGAAAATTACACATTTGGAAGGGCCGACTGATACCACCTTTTGGAAAAAGGATATAGTTACATATATTACCAGCTAGTCTCCTGATTACTGACCACCATAGAATTCAACCCAGGAAATTAATCCAGCTGCCTAAACCATTCAACAGGAGGCAAACAATTCTGTGTTGAGCAGGCCTATATTAACCATTACTTAAAAGTTAAGGAAAAACTAAGAGAGGTTAGCTTTCTAGATCGTCCAAAGGCCACACTCAGCATTATCAAGAATTAGCAAGGGGTCAGGTGCAAGCCTGTAATCTACACCAGCTAAGACAGTTCCGTGGTCAGAGGCCTCAGCAATTTCACAAGACCCTCCATCTCAAAAAGTTGAAAGGGCTAGGATATATAGCTCAGTGGTTACTGATTTAACAAACCATTCTCATGTAGTCTTCAAATTATGAAGGATGCATTAATTTGAGGAAAATGATCTTGACATTAAAAAGCTGTATCGTAGTAGGCTATGAGAATCTTGATGTTTTAAATAACTATCTTTTCAGGTTAAAAACAGTGCAGCATACTGCTAAGCACAATGTTCTGTTGAAATGTGACATTTGCACTTGACAAGCGAAGGAACTGTATGGGGAAGCCCTGTACAGGACAGAGGCCTTATATACCACCTTATATCAAGACCATTTTTTTCTGCAGAATACTTAGGCTGAGATTGGTGGCAGGGAAAGGAAAAATCAACTCTCTGCATGTTCTCCTTTTGAAATCATCCGAGTATTTATACAACACCTCAATTTAATAGGCACTGCTCTCTCAGCATGGGATATACAATAAATAAAAATCTGTTTTTAAATGCTCTTGACAACTTATGATGAGTGGCCTAGAGGAAAACATACTGCATATAGTGGGCAGAGATCTAAAGTGAAAAGTGTACCAGGTGGATTCCCCAGGTTTATGATTTTCTAGAGTAGAACTGTGAGTACATATTTATGTGTTGAAGAAAGTACGTATCAACATAGTACTTAAGCAGTTATGAAACCTGATTACCTTTCCTTTTCCCTACCATGGAATCTGTTAGTTGCTTATTTGTACAGCTGGGAATGGTCCTCAATTTTTTTTTTTAAGACATGCTTTAAACTCTCAGCAGTCCTGCCTCAGCCTCCCAAGTGCTGGGATTTCAGGTGTGTGCCACATAAGGCCTTCAACATTTTTTCCTAAGATGCTAAACTAAAAATTAGAAGTTGAATTCTGAAAGGTAGAATGTGGCTTTTGGTCAGAAACCCCCAACTACCTTTACTTTGTCACTTCCCAGCAAGCCAAAGTTGGTGACAGGCAAGTGGAGATATTAAGAAACTGATGTTACTATATGGAATGTAGATACAAAGCAACCCATCACCTTCAATCTACTGTTTACTTTTAACCAAAGAGTATCTTAACTAGAATATTATGAAAGGATGAATAATTCCTGCTTTAACAGTTAAAACTGCCAACATAAGTTGCTTTCTAATCTTTCACTAAATGGTGATGTTCCATGCTCTCCTCTAAGGAGTCCCAATAAGTATAGAAGTGAACACAACACATAACATACACACAAAAGCACTAGAGTGCTAGTTACACAAGAGGCACTGATCCTTGCTTTATTCACGCAGTAATATCCAACATTGCGAATCATGTGGGTATAGATACAAAATAAGTAAAATAGGGTCATAAACAGCAGCTGGACTCATCATGGCAGTGGTGGCAACTCAGCCCCTATGGAGTCTTCTCAGGAAGACCTAAATAGAGGGGACTCCCTCTAACCACTTCACAGCCAGGTACTTGACAACAGTGGCCTGTATTTTTAAAATTAAAGGTCACAGTGATTTAAAACAAATGAGGTCAACACATTCAGTGCTGAGCAACTGCTGCTAGGCCACTTAGTATGAACAATCTGGTACCCAGAAAGGAAGAACCACTGTGTATGCCTTATCTCAAGCAGGTATAAGCAAGGCAGAACACAGCAAGACCCCCAAGACACCTTCTCCCCTGGGTCCAATGAAGAATACTCTTCCAGCCAAATCACCAGGAGACAAGGCCTGGAGGCACCAGAAATACCACAAAGCAACTGCATCTCTTGGTTTCTCAGTCACATTCAAAGTTA